GTTACCTCCTGTTGAGTCCCAGTCGTTTGCTCCTTCTGGGTACGCTGCTTGGTCCTTGTTTGGTGGGATCTTCTGTCACGAACGTTAAGAGACGGGTCAGACCAAGGTGCAGCGTGGTATGCGTACATGTTTATTAATACGAATAAACACTTGACAAAATAACAAAACAAAGAAACGTGAAGTTCAAACAGTGGCTACAACACAACAAGCCAAATGCGAGACAAGATCCCACAACTAAGGTAGGCAACTGTAAGTCGCTCTGGATAAGAGCGTCTGCTAAATGACTAAAATGTAAATGTAAAAAATGCAACCAGGCTACCTAAGTATGATCCCCAATCAGAGACAACGAGCTACAGCTGCCTCTGATTGGGAATCACACCCGGCCAAACATAGAAATACCAACCTAGATCTACAACATAGAAATACAATAACATAGATCTCAACCGAAACTCACACCCTGACCCAACCAACAAGAGTTCTCTAGATCAGGGCGTGACAAGGTCAGACGTTTCTTGTAGTTGGCCACCAGGTTTGCACACATCTCAGGAGGGATTTTGTTCCACTCCTCTTTGCAGATCTTCTCCAAGTCATTAAGGTTTCGAGGCTGACGTTTGGCAACTCGAACCTTCAGCTCCCTCCACAGATTTTCTATGGGATTAAGGTCTGGAGACTGGCTAGGCCACTCCAGGACCTTAATGTGCTTCTTCTTGAGCCACTCCTTTGTTGCCTCGACCGTGGGTTTTGGGTCATTGTCATGCTGGAATACCCATCCACGACCCATTTTCAATGCCCTGGCTGAGGGAAGGAGGTTCTCACCCAAGAGTTGACGGTACATGGCCCCGTCCATCGTCCCTTTGATGCGTGAAGTTGTCCTGTCCCCTTAGCAGAAAAACACCCCCAAAGCATAATGTTTCCACCTCCATGTTTGACGGTGGGGATGGTGTTCTTGGGGTCATAGGCAGCATACCTCCTCCTCCAAACACGGCGAGTTGAGTTGATGCCAAAGAGCTCCATTTTGGTCTCATCTGACCACAACACTTTCACCCAGTTCTCCTCTGAATCATTCAGATGTTCATTGGCAAACTTCAGACGGCCCTGTATATGTGCTTTCTTGAGCAGGGGGACCTTGCGGGCGCTGCAGGATTTCAGTCCTTCACGGCGTAGTGTGTTACCAATTGTTTTCTTGGTGACTATGGTCCCAGCTGCCTTGAGATCATTGACAAGATCCTCCCGTGTAGTTCTGGGCTGACTCCTCACCGTTCTCATGATCATTGCAACTCCACAAGGTGAGATCTTGCATGGAGCCCCAGGCCGAGGGAGATTGACAGTTCTTTTGTGTTTCTTCCATTTGCGAATAATCGCACAGACTGTTGTCACCTTCTCACCAAGCTGCTTGGCGATGGTCTTGTAGCCCATTCCAGCCTTGTGTAGGTCCACAATCTTGTCCCTGACATCCTTGGAGAGCTCTTAGGTCTTGGCCATGGTGGAGAGTTTGGAATCTGATTGATTGATTGCTTCTGTGGACAGGTGTCTTTTCTACAGGTAACAAACTGAGATTAGGAGCACTCCCTTTAAGAGTGTGCTCCTAATCTCAGCTCGTTACCTGTATAAAAGACACCTGGGAGCCAGAAATCTTTCTGATTGAGAGGGGGTCAAATACTTATTTCCCTCATTAAAATGCAAATCAATTTATAAAATTTTTGACATGCGTTTTTCTGGATTTTTTTGTTGTTATTCTGTCTCTCACTGTTCAAATAAACCTACCATTACAATTATAGACTGATCATTTCTTTGTCAGTGGGCAAACGTACAAAATCAACAGGGGATCAAATACTTTTTTCCCTCACTGTATATATTATAATAATAATAATAATAATAATAATAATAATAATAATAATAATAATAATAATTTTAAGAACTTAGTCCAGATTTCAATTTAATGTGGTTGAGAGTTGTAATAGTAGAATACACAAAGTGTAATTTCGAAATTTAGTAGTGCATGGGCAGTAGTGCAGAAGCATACAGTGGGGGAAAAAAGTATTTAGTCAGCCACCAATTGTGCAAGTTCTCCCACTTAAAAAGATGAGAGATTGTAGGATTTTTAATGAATTTATTTGCAAATTATGGTGGAAAATAAGTATTTGGTCACCTACAAACAAGCAAGATTTCTGGCTCTCACAGACCTGTAACTTCTTCTTTAAGAGGCTCCTCTGTCCTCCACTCGTTACCTGTATTAATGGCACCTGTTTGAACTTGTTATCAGTATAAAAGACACCTGTCCACAACCTCAAACAGTCACACTCCAAACTCCACTATGGCCAAGACCAAAGAGCTGTTAAAGGACACCAGAAACAAAATTGTAGACCTGCACGAGCTGGGAAGACTGAATCTGCAATAGGTAAGCAGCTTGGTTTGAAGAAATCAACTGTGGGAGCAATTATTAGAAAATGGAAGACATACAAGACCACTGATAATCTCCCTCGATCTGGGGCTCCACGCAAGATCTCACCCCGTGGGGTCAAAATGATCACAAGAACGGTGAGCAAAAATCCCAGAACCACACGGGGGGACCTAGTGAATGACCTGCAGAGAGCTGGGACCAAAGTAACAAAGCCTACCATCAGTAACACACTACGCCGCCAGGGACTCAAATCCTGCAGTGCCAGACGTGTCCCCCTGCTTAAGCCAGTACATGTCCAGGCCCGTCTGAAGTTTGCTAGAGTGCATTTGGATGATCCAGAAGAGGATTGGGAGAATGTCATATGGTCAGATGAAACCAAAATATAACTTTTTGGTAAAAACTCAACTCGTCGTGTTTGGAGGACAAAGAATGCTGAGTTGCATCCAAAGAACACCATACCTACTGTGAAGCATGGGGGTGGAAACATCATGCTTTGGGGCTGTTTTTCTGCAAAGGGACCAGGACGACTGATCCTTGTAAAGGAAAGAATGAATGGGGCCATGTATCGTGAGATTTTGAGTGAAAACCTCCTTCCATCAGCAAGGGCATTGAAGATGAAACGTGGCTGGGTCTTTCAGCATGACAATGATCCCAAACACACCGCCCGGGCAACGAAGGAGTGGCTTCGTAAGAAGCATTTCAAGGTCCTGGAGTGGCCTAGCCAGTCTCCAGATCTCAACCCCATAGAACATCTTTGGAGGGAGTTGAAAGTCTGTGTTGCCCAGCGACAGCCCCAAAACATCACTGCTCTAGAGGAGATCTGCATGGAGGAATGGGCCAAAATACCAGCAACAGTGTGTGAAAACCTTGTGAAGACTTACAGAAAACGTTTGACCTGTGTCATTGCCAACAAAGGGTATATAACAAAGTATTGAGAAACTTTTGTTATTGACCAAATACTTATTTTCCACCATAATTTGCAAATAAATTCATTAAAAATCCTACAATGTGATTTTCTTGATTTTTTTCCCCTCATTTTGTCTGTCATAGTTGACGTGTACCTATGATGAAAATTACAGGCCTCTCTCATCTTTTTAAGTGGGAGAACTTGCACAATTGGTGGCTGACTAAATACTTTTTTCCCCCACTGTAAATATCATACCCCCCAAAAATGCTAACCTCCCCTGTTATTGTAATGGTGAGAGGTTAGCATGTCTTGGGGGTATGATATTTGTGCATCTGTAACTTTTTCAGATGCACACATAAAACATGGCAAAATGTGTTGAATTGCAGGAAATTAGCTTTAAAACTGGAAAATATTATTTCCGCCAACAGGAGGGGTGTGAACAGTTTCGGGTGGCATGGGTCGCGAGGTGGGGGTTTGTTACTACGCCGATAAAGACAATATCCATCTGGACCTTTGCCTTTGACCGTAGGAAATTTGTGTGACCGGACCTCATGTAGTAGTTGAGTTCCCCTGACCTACATTGTGTGCAGTGAACTTGACCCCAACGGACACAGGATGACTCAATAGTACATGAATGCAATATAACTCTTAAGATGACCCTCCTGGTCTTACTGCATAATATGCTGCATACAGACCATCATAGTTTAAACCCTGTATTTATTTTTGAGTTGGATCCCAGATTGTGTACAGATTAGCATGACAAACAAGCCAAACACCCAGGGGTGCTGCAAATGTTCCAGCGTCCTCCCATCCAACGTGTCACCACCCAGCATGAGATACTCTGTGAAAGAACAGGACATGTCAGAAACACTTGTCAGGAACACACACACACACACACACACACACACACACACACACACACACACACACACACACACACACACACACACACACACACACACACACACACACACACACACACACACACACACACACACACACACACCACACACATACACACACACACACACACACACACTACACACATACACACACTCCACTAACACATACACACACTGTTGAGTGATTTTGTATGTTGAATATTCGGCTGAGCTCAGATAGAATAGAGAAATGACAGATGCAGGACATGCTGCCATGGAGCGCTCTTATAGTTGACCTTACACCTGATAATATTATACACTTCCGCATGTAGTTCTAATTTAGTCTGTGTGTCTCCTGTCATTGAATAGAAGTGGGTCAGAAAGGCACAGGAAGGGGATGAGGGAGGAGGGGTATGAAGATGGGTTTTCAAGGCCAAGGCCATAAAACCGACTGTAAGTGATGTGTCTACAGTAGTGTCCAGGATGTTTATTTTCATTCTCTCTCTCTCTCTCTCTCTCTCTCTCTCTCTCTCTCTCTCTCTCTCTCTCTCTGTCTATCTCTGTCTCTCTTTCTCTCTCTTTCTCTCTCTCTCTCTCTCTCTCTCTCTCTCTCTCTCTCTCTCACACACACTCATGATCTCTTTCTCACTTTTCACATGCTTTCGATTGATGTTTGTACAGATTCTGTTGACATTAAGTATATTGATTTAGTTGACAATTTCCTTCACTTTTATTTATTGCTGCACAGGTAGAGAAGAGCACAATATTAAAATATGATTCCCTCTGTTATTTTTCTCTGACCAGGTAGAGTATGAGGTCCAAGAGCAGTGGGGTGGAGAGCCCAGCCAATGGGGTACTCGGGGTCCCCCAGGCAACGCATGACATTAACCAGGAAGAGGAAGTAAATCTGCATACACCCATAAAGAGTCTGAAGGTCAAAGTTCAACCAAACAATGAGGAGTTGGTGGAGGAGGTGGTGGTGGTCTCTGACATAGAGAAGTCAACCGAGGACAGCTCAGGGACTAGTGACCAAAGACTGGGAATCATGAACCTTACTAAAGAGGACCTTCTGAGGCTGCTAGGGGTCATGGAAGGTGAGGTTCAGGTGAGTCTGACTCATATTGATAAACTACCTATGCTCACATTGTACATAGCTTAACAGTTAACTGTGGGGTGAACCATTAATCTTGTCTGCTGGGATGTTGTTTACTTGTATTATCCACTAGGTGGAACCGATTGCCATGCTTAATTGTAAACCCTCACAATATTTTTGTCCAAAATGACATTCATTGTGAATTGCTCTATACTACACCTCCCTCTAGTGGCTGATGTTGGTACTAACACACATTACATAACATCACAGAAAACCTGTCTTACTGCTGTTTTGTAACATGGTAACTAATTATGGACTTGTAAGAGTAGTCCCTTGGTGCCCTAAACGAGATTCTTATAAACAATAAATTGCTAGGTTTTTTTCAGATTACTAAGAGAGTGTGTTTTTTGTGTGTGTAACCCACAGGCGAGGGATGATGTTATCTGTGTGCTGAAGACTGAGAAGACACGTCCGGAGGCTCTGAAGTCCCACTATGGTTCTGCAGCTCCTACCACAGCCCTCCAGGCCCTACAGAGAGACAGCCTTCTCACCAACACACAGACAGACATTGACAATGTCTACCAAAGACCAATGGCTGAGGTTGGTCACCTACAGTACTGACAGATACTTATTACCTTATAAAGTGACTGTAGTATTCTTGTTATTTTTCAAATGAAATGTTATTTGTCATGTACACAGTTTACAACAGGTATAAAAGGTTCAGTGAAATGCTTACACGCTACAGTAGCTCCCTCAACAATTGCAGTACAATGTAATTCATACAGACAAATCTGGATTTCAAATGTTGAAGATCATTAGTTTGACACATTTTGGACACCAGTTTTGTTTTACAATAAGGATGCATAGATCAACAAGACAGATGTACAGTAGTTGACTGAATAGTCACAGTTACAGTCTAATGATTCTTCTGTGTTGTGTGTTCCTCAGCTGGACCGTCTGCAGGACAAACACAAGGACACGTACCGGCGCATGCTGGAACAGCTTCTATTGGCTGAGAAGTGTCACCGCCGCACCGTGCATGAGCTGGACAGCGAGAAGCGCAAACACGCTGACTACATGAACAAGAGTGACGACTTCACTAACCTATTGGAGCAGGAGAGAGAGAGGTAAGATGATGAGGGGGAGGAAGAGAGAGAGGTCAGAGGATGAGGGGGAGGAAGAGAGAGAGGTCAGAGGATGAGGGGGAGGAAGAGAGAGAGGTCAGAGGATGAGGGGGAGGATGAGGGGGAGGAAGAGGATGAGGGGGAGGAAGAGAAAGAGGTCAGAGGATGAGGGGGAGGAAGAGGGAGAGAGAAGAGAGAGAGATACTAGACATAACATAGTAAACATAAATCTGGAACACTCAAATTAGTATGATATGTTACGTTTGGTATAGTTACAGAAGACAGAAGGTTACTTAAGGCAAAAATGAAAGAAGGGTCTTTGGTCGGGGTGGATGGGTAGACGTAAAATGCAAATGTCTAGCAACCAAAATGTTGCGTGTTTGAATCTCATGGCGGACAACTTAACAATTTGAGTAGCAACTATTTGCTACTTTGCAACTACTTAGCATGTTAGCTGAGGCAAACCCTAGCCTTAACCCTTTAACCTAACTCTTAACATTAACCCTAACCTTAACCCTAAACTTAACCCCTAACCCCTAGCCTAGCTAGTGTTAGCCACCTAGCTAACATTAGCGTTAGCCACCTAGCCACCTAGCTAACATTAGCCACAACATATTGAAATTCGTAACATATCATACCATATGTTTTGCAAATTCGTTACATATTGTACGAATTGCAATTTGTAACATATCATAGGAATTGTAATTCGTAACATATCACATGAATTACCGATCACTGCACCTGTACACAGCCCATCTGAAATTAGCCCACCCAACTACCTCATCCCCATATTGTTATTTATTTTGCTCATTTGCACCCCAGTATCTCTATTTGCACATCATCTCTTGCACATCTATCATTCCAGTGTTAATACTAAATTGTAATTATTTTGCACTATGGCCTATTTATTGCCTTAACTCCATAACTTGCTACATTTGCACACACTGTATATATATTTTCTGTTGTATTTTTGACTTTATGTTTTGTTTACCCCATATGTAACTCTGTGTTGTTGTTTTTATCGCACTGCTTTGCTTTATCTTGGCCAGGTCGCAGTTGTAAATCAGAACTTGTTCTCAACTGGCTTACCTGGTTAAATAAAGGTGAAATAAATAAATAAATAAAATTGTAATTTGTAACATATCATACGAATTGCAATTCGTAACATATCATACGAATTACAATTCGTAACATATCATACAAATTGTAATTCGTAACATATCATACGAATTGCAATTCGTAACATATCATACGAATTACAATTCGTAACATATCATACAAATTGTAATTCGTAACATATCATACAAATTGTAATTCGTAACATATCATACAAATTGTAATTCGTAACATATCATACAAATTGTAATTCGTAACATATCATACAAATTGTAATTCGTAACATATCATATGAAATGGATGATGGGCATCTACAAATGAATACATACCATACAAAAGGTAAAATATCATACTAACCTCTATACCAGGCGGTGTCATAGGAAGGCCCTAAAAAAGTCTCCATCCACCCAAGTCATAGACTGTTCTCTCTGCTACCGCACGGCAATTTACATTGACCCCCTCTACTATTTATTTATGTATTTATTGGTCTTAATTGTTTTACACTGACTCCCTTGCACTGGCTCTATGCACACTCACTAGACACTACCCACACACTCACACATACTATACTGACACTACAACACACACACACACACACACACACACACACTACATAAGCTAACACACATACACATGCATATTGACGCCACACACACACACTCACACATAGACATACTTTCACACAAAACGTTGTCAAAAAAGCAGTGAATTGGGAGCTTCAACAGTGTGCAGGCCTTCTTGTTCTATACTTTCACACTTCACATAAGCTGCTGCTACTCTGTTTATTATATATCCTGATTTACCCCTACCCACATGTACTGTACATACTGTATTACCTCAACTACCTCGTACCCCTGCACATTAACTTAGTACTGGTACTCCTTGTATATAGCCTCGTTATTGTTTTTATTGTGTTACTATTTCCTTTTTATTTAGCAAATATTTGTCTGCACTGTTGGAGGGACAGAGGGACAGATAACTTTAGCAGACTCCACTGGCTAAATCCATTGGATGAGGCTTTTGCAGCAAACACTATTGTTGCTTCCCAGTGCAGAGACTTGCATACAGTGGCTTGCGAAAGTATTCACCCCCCTTGGCATTTTTCCTATTTTGTTGCCTTACAACCTGGAATTAAAATGGATTTTTGGGGGTTTTGTATCATTTGATTTACACAACATGCCTCCCACTTTGAAGATGCAAAATCATTTTTTTGGTGAAACAAACAAGAAATAAGACAAAAAAACAGAAAACTTGAGCGTGCATAACTATTCACCCCCCCAAAGTCAATACTTTGTAGAGCCACCTTTTGCAGCAATTACAGCTGCACATCTGTTGGGGTATGTCTCTATAAGTTTGGCACTTCTAGCCACTGGGATTTTTGCCCATTCTTCAAGGCAAAACTGCTCCAGCTCCTTCAAGTTGGATGGGTTCCGCTGGTGTACAGCAATCTTTAAGTCATACCACAGATTCTCAATTGGATTGAGGTCTGGGCTTTGACTAGGCCATTCCAAGACATTTAAATGTTTCCCCTTAAACCACTCGAGTGTTGCTTTAGCAGTATGCTTAGGGTCATTGTCCTGCTGGAAGGTGAACCTCCGTCCCAGTCTCAAATCTCTGGAAGACTGAAACAAGTTTCCCTCAAGAATTTCCCTGTATTTAGTACCCTCCATCATTCCTTCAATTCTGACCAGTTTCCCAGTCCCTGCCGATGAAAAACATCCCCACAGCATGATGCTGCCACCACCATGCTTCATTGTGGGGATGGTGTTCTCGGGGTGATGAGAGGTGTTGGGTTTGCATGTTGGGTTTGCGTTTTCCTAGATGGCCAAAAAGCTCAATTTTAGTCTCATCTGACCAGAGTACCTTCTTCCATATTTTTGGGAAGTCTCCCACATGGCTTTTGGCAAACACCAAACGTGTTTGCTTTTCTTTAAGCAATGGCATTTTTCTGGCCACTCTTCCGTAAAGCCCAGCTCTGTGGAGTGTACGGCTTAAAGTGGTCCTATGGACAGATACTCCAATCTCCGCTATGGAGCTTTGCAGCTCCTTCAGGGTTATCTTTGGTCTCTTTGTTGCCTCTCTGATTAATACCCTCCTTGCCGGTCTGTGAGTTTTGGTGGGTGGCTCTCTCTTGGCAGGTTTGTTGTGGTGCCATATTCTTTCCATTTTTTAATAATGGTTTAATAGTGCTCTGTTGGATGTTCAAAGTTTCGGATATTTGTTTATAACCCAACCCCGATCTGTACTTCTCCACAACTTTGTCCCTGACCTGTTTGGAGAGCTCCTTGGTCTTCATGGTGCCGCTTGCTTGGTGGTGCCCCTTGCTTAGTGGTGTTGCAGACTCTGGGGCCTTTCAGAACAGGTGTATATATACTTAGATCATGTGACACTTAGAATGCACACAGGTGGACTTTATTTAACTATTATGTGACTTCTGAAGGTAATTGGTTGCACCAGATCTTATTTTAGGGCTTCATAGCAAAGGGGGTGAATACATATACATGCACCACTTTTCCGTTATATTTTTTATTTTTTATTTGAAACAAGTGATTTTTTTCATTTCACTTCACCAATTTTGACTATTTTGTGTATGTCCATTACATGAAATCCAAATAAAATTTCATTTAAATTACAGGTTGTAATGCAACAAAATAGTAAAAATGCCAAGTGGGATGAATACTTTTGCAAGGCACTGTATGTGTTTTGCTCTTCCCCCTGTGGGCAATGGGGGCATGGAGAACCTGTATGCCCATAAAGTCCATGCAGTTCCCTTGGATCCAGCAGTGTAAAGGGCCATTACACAGTTTTAACTGTTCAGTTGTGCTTAGAGTTACTGTGTGCAGTACCAGCCGCCTCTGGACACGGACCATTTACTCTGGCTGATAGATGATGTGTTAGAACTAAGGTGTGTGTGTGCGTGTGTGCCTGTGTGTGTGTGCAATGTTTGTACAGTCAACCTGCATGCATGCACGAGTGTGTGCGTGTATATGTTCCCCACACCCAGTAATCTGCAGGCCAGAGGCCAGAGTGGAGCCCCAGCTGTGTTTCATAAGCTATAAAACTTCAAACAGCATCTCCCAGACAGGCCCAATGTACTCTCACAGCTCCACAGCTCCTTCCCCTTCCCTTCTATTGGACAACTCAGGAGACAGACCATGAAGGCTACATCACTGTCAGAAGAGCCACCATCAGAGACAGTGGGAGAGGCCTGTGAGAAGGAGGGAGAAAGAGGGAAGAGGGAGATTAAGTACTGTACATTGGTTCCGAACATTAGAACAAACTTGAACCTGAAGAGCTTTGCCCAGGTTGTGTTTGATTGACACCTGACTGAGGTAGACCCTGAACATGCCTAACCCCAGGCAGCAGGTTTCACGCTTTGTTGGAGAGAGATAGCAACCCCAGGATCTCCCTTTAACGAACCTTCAGACTGTCTGATGAAAGCCTTCCACATTAACCACCCGCAGAGAAACAGATTCAGTCAGTGGGACTGAGTTAAGCTAGGCTTCATCAGGTACTAGCTATGTACAGTATGAGACAGCAGTGACTTTCATTCTAAAAACATGGAAGAAGGTGGATATGAACTATAAATAGTTTAATCCAAACCTGAGATGGTTGTTGGAGTTTACAGGTTTACAGGTTTCACTAGGTAGATGTACTGTAGGTCCAGTTGATCTTACTGTAGGTGTTAGCAGTGCCGGTGACCTCCTCTGCCAGGATGTTTCACTGTCCTGGTTGGCCAGTGTTCAGCCTACTGTCCTCCACAATCTCCTCTTAGTGCATACAGCCCTGTGCTTTAGATCTCCTGCTCCATCAGCACTGGCTGAGCCCACATTCTCCTGGCCTGGAGTCAGGGAAAGGCCACGCACGCACGTATACACACACTGGCTGAGCCCACATTCTCCTGGCCTGGAGTCAGGGAAAGGCCACGCACGCATGCACACACGTATACACACACGCGCGCAAGCACACACACACACACATACACACTCCCGTGCCTGGTAGAGAGTTGCCACTGTTTTGATGTTTCTCTATGTCAGTGCAAGGTGGGAGCAATCCGTCTACATGTCCATCCATCTCACACCTATTCATTTAAATAGCTCACTGACGTGTGAGTGTGCAAGGAGAAAAGCCAAAACACCTATAGGGTCTTACACCAAACTACTGAAGGAATTTGGAGTGAAGGGGTTGCTAGCTATGCTCATGACTTTGTTACACATACAGTACAGTATGTTGTGAATTAGGAAATAGAAGCCAGTTGCTGCGGTTGTATTCATAAGAGAGGCATTTAGTGCCGCTAGCCGTCATTGTGATCAAACCTACACCGGCCTGTGATCCAGACATTGGGTGCTTTAAAGTAGCTTAGCTTCTGGTGCCCTTCTGTTAACACCATGCCAATGAGACGTGCTGTATCGACCGTGCTGTAGCTGAGCACTTAATGCTTTTCCCCCTCAAGAGCAGTGATTATAGTCCACGGCTGTGTTTTGACAGGCATTGGCACGGCGTGTCAGCTTCAGTCCACAACCCCCTGACACATACAAGCTGCTGCACCTCCAACTACATTCCTCAGGGAAACATGGGATGAGTGAAATGTTGTTTCATCATGAAAATGTGTTTTCTCAGGGACCCACTGTTGATTGCACCTGAACATGTGCTCAAGTGAGTTCAGGAGGACAGTATCTCACCAAATGAAACTTACAATAATTTGATCATCCTGAATCCATGATCAAACAGAGCTGATAATTTTTACATTTTAGTCATTTAGCAGACGCTCTTAACCAGAGCGACTTACAGGAGCAATTAGGGTTAAGTGCCTTGCTCAAGGGCACATTAACGTCATTTAGCAGACGCTCTTAGCCAGAGCGACTCACAAATTGGTGCGTTCACCCTATAGCCAGTGGGATAACCACTTTACAATTTGGGGGGGGGGGGGTTAGAAGGAATACTTTATCCTATCCCAGGTATTCCTTAAAGAGGTGGGGTTTCAAATGTCTCCGGAAGGTGGTGAGTGACTCCGCTGTCCTGGCGTCGTGAGGGAGCTTGTTCCACCACTGGGGTGCCAGAGCAGCGAACAGTTTTGACTGGGCTGAGCGGGAGCTATGCTTCCGCAGAGGAAGGGGAGCCAGCAGGCCAGAGGTGGATGAACGCAATGTCCTCGTTTGGGTGTAGGGACTGATCAGAGCCTGAAGGTACAGAGGTGCCGTTCCCCTCACTGCTCCATAGGCAAGCACCATGGTCTTGTAGCGGATGCGAGCTTCAACTGGAAGCCAGTGGAGTGTGCGGAGGAGGGGGGTGACGTGAGAGAACTTGGGAAGGTTGAACACCAGACGGGGTGTTCCAACTATGTTACGTGAATCCTAACACACCAGCAGTCTGTGTGGTTCATAACTCGTCATACTGGTGGACAAACTTCATTACAGTATAGTCTGGTTGTTAAAAGGTCAATGCTGCTGCTTGTTGGAGACTTTTACTGGAGACTTTGACTTGGCCTTAGATCACGAGGGGCTCCTGAGGACATTGCTACACCTCTGATGGGTCTGACAGGGAAGCCATTTGACCACAGTTACTCCCTCCTGAATGACTGGGTCTCCAGGGAGATAGGGAGCTCTACTTTACGTCTGAAGGTCAGGTGTGAGTGACTTCTCCCCAATGTGACCTCGCCGCTGTAGGTGCCATTGACAGTGACATCATGCCTGTGACCTTTGTGTGAGGGTAATTTTAGAGTGCCGATTGCTTAGGTGTCAATGACTTATGGACATGGGTAAGTATGTATGAAGATCAAGTGGCACATTGTAGAGCAGGAGTGTCAAACATACGGCCCACAGGCCGGATCCGGCCTGCCAGCCCATTCAATCTGGCTCGCGGGTGTTTTGAGTAATTAAAAAAAATATGTTTTTGTATAATTTATTTTATTATTTCGGGGAAAAAACATTGAAATTACTAAAACCAAACAGTGTAGAAATGATAATGGATCTACAGTCTCTGTCCAGCTTGCTAACAGTCATCGAAACCAAAGCTAGACAGTCAGGGAGCAATCGATGCAAAGCAATGGATAGAGGACTATTTGTAGAAATGTTGTACGATGGGAAATATAACCAATTTTAAGTGTGTTCCTCCGGACCTCGGTGAAGAAAAATGAGTTTGCCACCCCTGCTGTAGAGTCTGGATAATACTCTGTACAGTAGCCAGCCATGGTGGTGATCTGACTTGGCAGTGGGATTTGAATGATACCGATACTCATAATCCTTCAACATAAACGAAGGATCTGCTCTAATAGAATCTAGAATTCAATGCATCCTCTGTATAGAGGTCAAGTATGATGAGCTCTAAAGGGATAGTTAATTACAGATTAATTACATTGCCCTTAATTGTTGTTGTTGTGGTGGTGAAGATAGAAGTTTCTTTGTTTGACTGTAAGGTTTAGAGTGCTATGCCTACTGTCTCTATACTGATCCACTCGGTTACCATATCGCTCAGAGTCAGCACCTCATAAAACCATTGTCAGGGTTCCTGTCTGTCTGAGTGTTCACAGAGTCTGTGTCTTCACCTTCAGGGAGCGGAACTGGCTCATCCCTATCTGTTTTCCCCATTATTGGTCAGCTTTACACAGAGCAGAATGCTGATCCACTTTTCCCAAGGTGACACCACAGCAGACAGACTCACTGTCCTCTCTCCTATACCACTGAGCTTATAGCTTCCTGCCTGACCAGATAATTTCCTGTCTGTAGGCAGGGGTATTAGGAGATTACAGGGCTACTTTGCATTGTTTTCCATTAACAGAATTTGGCTTAGCCAAAACAGCGCTGTGTCTATGGAAACCAATTTAAGTAATGTAAGAAGTGTCTGAATCACTTGTGTACACAGGCTTTTGTAGTAGCCTGTGTGTAGGAGCCATTTCCCTTGAAACACACTCCCCATTGCCTGTTAGTGAACACAAAAAAGGGGGGAAACAAATGAAGGAGGAGTGTAAAGAACGCCCTCCTCTGGCCAGGATCCCTCCCACATCCTCACAGTCTAAACCAGAAATCCCACAGATCTCTGCCTGACTGCCTATAGGCAAGGTGACATCACCAGCTAAAGGTCTGGTGCTACACACACAGCATTTATTCACCTTTCATTGTCCTGATGACATGCTTGGAATGTGACGGTAAAGTTATTGTGGATAAATGCCAACTCTGAACTTGGAGTGGATCCTGTACTATGGCAAACATGTTAGACATGGACTCCCCTGTAGTGCATGTAGAATAGTGGGTACGTTTTGGTTGGTGTCTAAGTTGTTCAGAGTGTAACTGTTTCTGCTGGTATAAAATGCACTGCTGTCAGAAATGTGTTTCTTGGTTGATATCCTAGCTCAGTGTGAGATGTACTGTATATAAAGTGTGCACACAAAAGATGGAGAGTTCCCAAGACAGCTATGCATTCAGTGTGTTTTGCATGCAACTTGTTAAAGGCTCTCTTTGTCTGTTGAGATTCCTCACATGGACATGCACAGCATAAAAATAAGCAGAGTTAAAGAGACTGCTCAGTGGGTGTTTAATCAAACTTTCACTCACATTTTGTTTTCTTAGTCTTGATTCCAACAGCAAGGATGGAAAACAGCAAGGGAGTTTTTGGCAGTTTTTCCTAGTGTACTAGATCTTTCAGTGTGCTGCAGTTCTTTGCCAAATCAAGTGTGAGAGGCATGGCTAGCTGAGCCAGAAAGAATCAGTGGAGGGTTCAGTATCTGATCTGACCCATCATTGTTCCCTGTGACACAGCATCATGCGTTTTTACATTCATCCTTCCTTATCCTGATCATCCATTATGCAGTAATATAGCTTGATTTCCTCTATATCCATTTAACATCTAGTAGGTTTATTAATTGGGAACATGAGAGAATAATTTATATTCATCCATTTAGATTTTGGTAAATATGATTGAATATTAAGGTGTGCATGTATTCATCCCAAAAGGTATGTAGCAGCAGCGAATACCAGTAGTCATGTCTAGTATCTTAAACACTGTAAGTTTCATGGCAGCTTACTGTAAAATGTATTCAATCACTCCTGTCATGTCAAACCAATTTTCTATGGTTTTACATTTCTGTAGAAATTCAAACCATTCTTGTGCTACAAAGTATCAAGCTTGGCTGAAGTGAATGATGTTAAAATTATATTTTTATTTCTGAAAGATTACATTACATAATGATACACCATATAAAACACTGTTACTTCAAGGATGTACAGTCCAGCAGAACAGTTTACACACATCCTTACTTATCTACTGTTTTTTTATCTCTCGACAGATTGAAGAGGTTGCTGGAGAATGAGAAAGCCTACCAGGTGCGTAAAGAGAAGGAGAACACCAAGCGTCTGGAGAAGGTGAGGGAGGAGCTGGTCAAACTGAAATCCTTTGCCCTGATGCTGGTAGACGAGCAGCAACTCCACCTGGAGCAGATGGACCAGCAGAGCCAGAGGGTCCAGGAGCTGACCCAGCAGCTGCAGCAGAGGGAGAAGGACCTGAGCGACGCCAGCGCCCGGGCCCAGGAGGACAGACAGAGGGCCCTGAGTTTGGAGGGCGAGCTGAGGGAATGCCAGGCCAAGTTTACCCAGAAGCAGGAGGAGAGGACCGCCAAGCTGGCCAGCCAGGAGTCCCAGAGCCGCCAGCTGGATGTCAAGCAGTCTGTACTCACCCACACGCTGGAGGACCTGGAGGAGAGCAACAGGGCTCTGAGGAGGTCAGAGGAGGCGCTGAAGGAGAGCAATGGGGCTCTGAGGAGGTCAAAGGACGAGCTGGAGGAGAGCAACAGGGCTCTGAGGAGGTCAGAGGAGGAGCGCAACGGGGCTCTGAGGAGGTCAAAGGAGGAGCTGCACGAGCTGAGGGATAAGATCAGCAAAGGGGAGTGTGGGAACTCTAACCTAATGACAGAACTGGAGAACCTCCGCAAACGGGTATTTGAGATGGAAGGGCAGGACGAGGAGATCACCAAGGCAGAGGCCCAGTGCCGGGAGCTGAGGAAGAGGCTGCAGGAGGAGGAGAGCCGAGGGAAAGAACTCAAACTGCAAGTGGAGAAGCTCCAGAGGAGAATGGTGGAATTGGAGAGACTAGAGGGGGCGTTCAACGCCAGCAAGGCGGAGTGCTTCCAGTTACACTCCGCTCTGGAGAGAGAGAAGGATGTGTCGAAGGAGCTTGCTGACGAACTGGTGGCCTTTAAGATACGCATGAAAGAGATGGAATCCTCTGAGCTGAGACTGGAAAAGACTGAGCAGGGCCTTAAAGATGACCTGGCGAAGCTGAAGTCATTCACTGTGGTAATGGTTGATGAGAAAAATTATATGATGGAGAGAATGCTGTTAGAGGAGAAGAAGAGGGATGATCTGAGTAAGACGTTCAAAGCGGAGCAGGGCAAGGTCATGGAGGTGACTGAGAGATTGATAGAGGAGAGTAAAAAGCTCCTGAAGTTGAAATCAGAGATGGAGGCCAAGGTTGGGAACCTCACCAGAGAGAAAGGAGAGCTAAGCACTAAGCTCACATGTGAAATGGAAAAGAGCAAGGATCTGAGCTCCAAAGTCAGCCAAATGAACAAGAGGTTAGATGGATTGGAGGAGGCAGAAAATATATCCACAAAGAACATAGCAAAGAGGGAACTGGTAAGCTTGTCAGATGGGGGTTCGAAAGAGGACAACAGGGTGAAGGAGCTAACATATGAAATAGAGCGATTGAAAAACCGTCTCAAGCAGCTGGAGGTTGTGGAGGGCGATTTGATAAAGACAGAGGATCAGTACGACCTGCTGGAGAAAAAGTTAATGACGGAGCAAGACAAGGCCAACATTCTCTCCCAGCAGGTGGAGGAGATGAGGAGTCAGATCGCCAGGATTAAAGCAATAGAGAATGGAGAGGTGGAGAGCCAGGAGGCAGACCTACGACAGTGCTGCAGGACAGAGAACGCCAACACCAGAGACTTGCAGAACGACATGGTAGCTCTCAAGGAGAAGATTCATGAGCTGATGAACAAAGAAGACCAGCTCTCTCAACTCCAAGTGGACTACTCCATCCTCCAGCAGAGGTTCCTAGAGGAAGCAGAGAAGAAGGACAACATGAGCATTGAGGTCCTCCACCTCACCAAAGAGCTGGAGGTGACCAAGCGCCACAGCCGCGCTCTACGACCCTGTCTGAACGGGAGGAGGATGGTGGACGTTGCCATGGCGTCCACGGGAGTGCAGACTGATGCGCTGGCCAATGAGACGGCAGAAGAGGACACCCCAGCTGTGTTCATCAGGAAGTCAGTCCAGGAAGAGAATCACATCATGAGTAATCTTCGACAGAAGGGTCTCAAGAAACCCACAGAGAAAGCTGGTGGTCATGAACGCTACTCACCGTCTGCTGCCGCTGACCTCAGCATGAAGAAGTCCTGGATTCCATGGATGCGGAAGAGGGAAAACATCCCTCAGGGAGGTAATCTGCATAAGTCTGTCCATAGCAACGGTGAATCCATGCATTCTGATCTGGCCATGTCTCAGAAGCAAGGGCAGCCTTTACGCATCAGAGTGACCCCAGACCACGAGAACAGCACGGCTACCTTGGAGATCAGCAGTCCTTCTGCTGCGGACCTCTACTCCAGCTCCAGCCTCAGCCTCAGTCCCACCCTGCAGGGCCACCAGAAGCCTCGGATCACCATCATTCCCACCCACACACACACCACTGCAACTTCAAGGGGCAGAGCCAGCGCAGGGCCAGGGGGACCAGAGAGGGCCAAGTCCCCGGTCACCATCAGCACCATCTCCAGGGCCAAGTCACCAGAGATCAGCAAGGCCTCCTCCTCTTCCTCCTCCTCTTCCTCCTCCTTCCTCCTCCTCTTCCTCTTCAGGCAGACCCATGTCACCCATATCCATCATGACAGTCAGCTCTTCTATGGTGTCCAACATGTCCGCCTCCCCAGAGCCCCAGGAGATTACCATGGGCCGGGCCGTGTTCAAGGTGACCCCTGAGAAGCAGATGGTCCCCACACCAATCAGGAAGTACAACTCCAACGCCAGTATCATCACCACCACAGAGGACAACAAGATTCACATCCACCTGCATGGCTCCCAGTTCAATAAGGGCCCCTCGGAGGGCCACAACATCACAGCACCCAAGGTGGTGGTTAGGCCTGTCGGCGTGGCAACTGAGTGTAGCAGAGAGATGACGTTATCCACGGGCACAGTGTTGCGCTCCCCTCACCATAGCGCCACTGCTGTCAAAACCACTCCCAGTAAAGTGATGAGCAGCATCACTATCACTGCAGTCACGTCCACCCCTGCCAGACCAACACAAGCTGTGGTGAGTCTCCTCAGTACATAAATTCACCTGGCTGTTATGTTAATCTGTTATTAACTCATTCAAACGTATACTTTTTGAGTTGTGTTAACCCTGTGCACCCCAATTAAATTATGAATCTAAAAAGGAAATCTATGAAAATAATTATGTTTATGAATTGCAAAATAATGATTTGGTAAGATTGTGGACATGTACGTTCCTTTCTGTTACGTAAGATATTGATGTGCGACAAGGTGGCATCTCACTGAATGTGCGGTATAATAAGGTCTTTGTGGGGCGAATGGTAGCGTGACAGAAGGAGCTTCATCAACAGCCCTCCAGACAACAGAGATCTAATGACGTGACAATCTGCCACCATGTTACAATCATCCTGTCACTTATAGCTGCTGCTCAGTGTGTACATTCACACACAGACACACAGGGCACAAACACCCTCACTGACAGAAGAAATGCAGCACAGAGCTGGTAGGCTGCAATACACTGTAACATGACCCGCAACATTACTCCCCCACTGAGTTGGTCTTGAAAGAAGGACTAAATATTTACAGTTCATATAGTAAATGTTCTCTAAGGGAAATGTTTTCATACATATTCCCCCTCAGTAATTGATCATTTTCTTCTACCCCTTTCTCTGTTGTGGCCTCCTCTTCTCTCACCCCCTCTCCTCTTTCTATCCTATCCCTGTATCTCCCAGCCCGGGCATGATGCCCACCCACCCCGAGCAGGGCTCACCCGTATTCCCATGTCCAAGGGCCTGAAGACAGGCAAAGCCATGCTGGGAGCCCTGGGGATGTCTGGAGGAATGAGGCTGGAGCAGAGAGCAGAAAGCCAGTCCATGAGGATAGAGCTGAAGAAATCCACAATCAGCAGCACAACAGCCTTTCAAAATGGAGGGAAAGGCTGTTAGAGCCAGAGACACTAACAGGGAACATTAGTCAAACAAGCTGCCAACCATAGTAGTGTTCTATGGGTCAGAGGTGCTCAGTATAGAGGCACCATTAAATGACCTGGAGACAGAGAGCGAGGGGGATATTCAGACAAGGGAAAGTTGTTTGGCTCCTCTCTGTTGAGCAGGAGCCTGAGTTGATCATTTTGTTCTTATCCAACTGAAAACAGTATACATATCTAATATATTATATTTTTAGAAAGTATTTATATTCTGTTCTCAGTGTTTGTAATGTGGATGAAATCAACTTAACTGTTTTCTTAGATACCCGCTGGCATTTTGTAAGGGAACAGAGTCAGGTGTATTGTCAGGTAATTCTGCTACTAACTGCTTCATGTATTAGTTAGGGACTGCTTCACCTAGTGAGCTTTTCATGATGGATTTTTGTACTGCATTTAATACTGAGACCACATCATTTGGTGTGCAGCAAATTAAATGTGTCCTTTTTTATGTAAATGTTTTTGTAATGATGTATTTGAAATAACACTTTTTTCTGAAAGATGACCTACAGCATATTCAACAAAGAATATTGTTATGAGAATACATGCAACATTGAGTGCACTATGTTAACGTTCTCTAACATAATTTTGGATGCATTTTCTGGGCATGGGCATCAGTTGAACCAGACTCACTGTAGTAATTAATTCATCTCACATTCATTTACTGACTAGGAAGTGTTTGTATTGACTTGCTGTGTGTTATGAAATTGGAAAATATATCAAAACAAATGGCCATATACATCAATGCTGTGATACACTGGTGAGCCAAATTCTCACAGTCATCTCTCAATTGTGGAGCGCTTACTTGCCATAAAGCAATTAAAATCAACTCGGTTAACAAGCTGCCTGTGTCTACAATCACCAACCATGTGCCCTCTGAATGAAATAATAATAATGTTTCTAATTTGCTCAATCGACCAATGAGAGACAATCAAACCAGTGTCATTAGATGGGTTTGTTGTGAGTCAAAGGGTAACTAGCCTGAGACCCCTACGGGAAATGTATGTATAGAAATATAGGAATTCAAAATGCATCAAAATATATTTAGTAATGTCTATGAAATACATAAATAAAACATTTCTAAATGTTTTAAATGTGTATAAAATATACTTGTCTGTACAATATGTAACTTAACTCAATGCACAAGCAATGAGCATTGTCAATGATGATAGAACACATCAAATTAATGTGAACATGATGAAACGAATGAAAGAAACAATTAAAATATAGTATTTTATTATATTCTCTATGCTGAAGTCTTTTTTTTATGCTGAAAAATCCACTTATGGATAAGGGCAAATTCACTATGAGCAAATGGCCTGTGGGACAAAAATAAAAATAGTTAACATCCCTGCTACTTAAGCCATATGTTATGTTAAAGTTAAAGCTCAGTTGAATAGATTAATAGATTCATTTTGGAAGGATTCAGTCATACCTCAGTAGGGAAACTCATCTGACACTACCTTAAAGATATATGGCAGTCTGCAACTCAACAAATTGCCCCTGCATGGTGTTCAGCTGCCCCTGCATGTGGTTCATAGACTGCTTAACTTTCATTGTTCAGCAGGATCTGAATCTCAGTCCTAAAGGAAATCAGGTGGTTCAACAGACTGAGACGAAGAGGGAGGATTCACACCATGCCCATTGGCCCATCTTTAGGATTATTTCTCACTCAACACCAATCATATTAGTATTATTTAGAAGGAAAAAAACATACAGTGAGGGAAAAAAGTATTTGATCCCCTGCTGATTTTGTACGTTTGCCCACTGACAAAGAAATGATCAGTCTATAATTGTAATGGTAGGTTTATTTGAACAGTGAGAGACAATAACAACAAAAATATCCAGAAAAATGCATGTAAAAAATGTTATAAATTGATTTGCATTTTAAAAAGGGTAGATTCCAAACTCTCCACCATGGCCAAGACCAAAGAGCTCTCCAAGGATGTCAGGGACAAGGCTGGAATGGGCAACAAGACCATTGCCAAGCAGCTTGGTGAGAAAGTGACAACAGTTGGTGCGATTATTTGAAAATGGAAGAAACACAAAAGATCTGTCTATCTCCCTCTGCCTGGGGCTCCATGCAAGATCTCACCTCGTGGAGTTGCAATGATCATGAGAACGGTGAGGAATCAGCCCAGAACTACACGGGAGGATCTTGTCAATGATCTCAAGGCAGCTGGGACCATAGTCACCAAGAAAACAATTGGTAACACACTATGCCGTGAAGGACTGAAATCCTGCAGCGCCCGCAAGGTCCCCCTGCTCAAGAAAGCACATATACAGTTGAAGTTGGAAGTTTACATACACCTTAGCCAAATACATTTAAACTCAGTTTTTCACAATTCTTGACATTTAATCCTAGTAAAAATTCCCTGTTTTAGGTCAGTTAGGATCACCACTTTATTTTAACAATGTGAAATGTCAGAATAATAGTAGAGAGAATGATTTATTTAAGCTTTTATTTCTTTCATCATATTCCCAGTGGGTCAGAAGTTTACATACACTCAATTAGTATTTGGTAGCATTGCCTTTCAATTGTTTAACTTGGGTCAAACATTTCGGGTAGCCTTCCACAAGCTTCCCACAATAAGTTGGGGGAATTTTGGCCCATTCCTCCTGACAGAGCTGGTGTAACTGAATAAGGTTTGTAGGCCTCCTTGCTCGCACACGCTTTTTCAGTACTGTCCACCAATTTTCTGTAGGATTGAGGTCAGGGCTTTGTGATGGCCACTCCAATACCTTCACTTTGTTGTCCTTAAGCCATTTTGCCACAACTTTGGAAGTATGCTTGGGGTCATTGTCCATTTGGAAGACCCATTTGCGACCAAGCTTTAACTTCCTGACTGATGTCTTGAGATGTTGCTTCAGTATATCCACATAATTTTCCTTTCTCATGATGCCATCTATTTTGTGAAGTGCACCAGTCCCTCTTGCAGCAAAGCACCCCCACAGCATGATGCTGCCACCCCCGTGCTTCACGGTTGGGATGGTGTTCTTCGGCTTGCAAGCTCCCCCTTTTTCCTCCAAAACATAATGACGGTCATTATGGCCAAACAGTTCTATTTTTGTTTCATCAGACCAGAGGACATTTCTCCAAAAAGTACGATCTTTGTCCCCATGTGCAGTTGCAAACCATAGTCTGGATTTTTTATGGCGGTTTTGGAGCATTGGCTTCTTCCTTGCTGAGCGGCCTTTCAGGTTATGTCGATATAGGACTCGTTTTACTGTGGATATACAGTGGGGGAAAAAAAGTATTTAGTCAGCCACCAATTGTGCAAGTTCTCCCACTTAAAAAGATGAGAGAGGCCTGTAATTTTCATCATAGGTACACGTCAACTATGACAGACAAATTGAGGAAAAAAAATCCAGAAAATCACATTGTAGGATTTTTTATGATTTATTAGCAAATAGGTGGAAAATAAGTATTTGGTCACCTACAAACAAGCAAGATTTCTGACCTCTCACAGACTGTAACTTCTTCTTAGAGGCTCCTCTGTCCTCCACTCTTACTGTATTAATGGACTGTTGAATGTATGTATAAAAGACACGCTGCTGGTACATCATGGTCAATAGATGGTTTGTTGTGAGTCAAGGGTAACTAGCCTGAGACCCCTACGGGAAATGTATGTATAGAAATATAGGAATTCAAAATGCATCAAAATATATTTAGTAATGTCTATGAAATACATAAATAAACATTTCTAAATGTTTTAAATGTGTATAAATATACTTGTCTGTACAATATGTAACTTAACTCAATGCACAAGCAATGAGCATTGTCAATGATGATAGAACACATCAAATTAATGTGAACATGATGAAACGAATGAAAGAAACAATTAAAATATAGTATTTTATTATATTCTCTATGCTGAAGTCTTTTTTTATGCTGAAAAATCCACTTATGGATAAGGGCAAATTCACTATGAGCAAATGGCCTGTGGGACAAAAATAAAAATAGTTAACATCCCTGCTACTTAAGCCATATGTTATGTTAAAGTTAAAGCTCAGTTGAATAGATTAATAGATTCATTTTGGAAGGATTCAGTCATACCTCAGTAGGGAAACTCATCTGACACTACCTTAAAGATATATGGCAGTCTGCAACTCAACAAATTGCCCCTGCATGGTGTTCAGCTGCCCCTGCATGTGGTTCATAGACTGCTTAACTTTCATTGTTCAGCAGGATCTGAATCTCAGTCCTAAAGGAAATCAGGTGGTTCAACAGACTGAGACGAAGAGGGAGGATTCACACCATGCCCATTGGCCCATCTTTAGGATTATTTCTCACTTAACACCAAATCATATTAGTATTATTTAGAAGGAAAAAAACATACAGTGAGGGAAAAAAGTATTTGATCCCCTGCTGATTTTGTACGTTTGCCACTGACAAAGAAATGATCAGTCTATAATTGTAATGGTAGGTTTATTTGTACAGTGAGAGACAATAACACAAAAGATCCAGAAAATGCATGTAAAAAATGTTATAAATTGATTTGCATTTTAAAAAGGGTAATAAGTATTGACCCCCTCTCAATCAGAAATATTCGGCTCCAGGTGTCTTTAAAAGGTAACAAGCTGTTAACAAATCTTAAAGGGAGTCTCCTATCTCAGCTTGTTACCTGTAAAAAGACACCTGTCCACGAAGCAATCATCAATCAGATTCAACTCTCCACCATGGCCAAGACCAAAGAGCTCTCCAAGGATGTCAGGGACAAGGCTGGAATGGGCAACAAGACCATTGCCAAGCAGCTTGGTGAGAAAGTGACAACAGTTGGTGCGATTATTTGAAAATGGAAGAAACACAAAAGATCTGTCTATCTCCCTCTGCCTGGGGCTCCATGCAAGATCTCACCTCGTGGAGTTGCAATGATCATGAGAACGGTGAGGAATCAGCCCAGAACTACACGGGAGGATCTTGTCAATGATCTCAAGGCAGCTGGGACCATAGTCACCAAG